ACTGGTGGATATACAGTTGTTGCTTCCTTAACAAACACCCTCAGAGTGTATTGATAATCTGTGAAAGCACTGGTGGATATACAGTTGTTGCTTCCTTAACAAACACCCTCAGAGTGTATTGATAATCTGTGAAAGCACTGGTGGATATACAGTTGTTGCTTCCTTAACAAACACCCTCAGAGTGTATTGATAATCTGTGAAAGCACTGGTGGATATACAGTTTTCCTAGCTTTATATCTGTTATTTGAAGCATGATTGTGTTGTTGAAAAACTGTCTGATCTTACCGTTGTTTCACAGGGATTGGCTGCTATAAATATTTTGGGATCTTGATTTCTTTTACCTTCATATTCTCTTTTAATAATAAAGAAAACGGATTTCTTTTGTGATACGGAAAGACTTTTTGTTTTAATAAAGTCAAATGCAATTATGAAAAAATTTGAGAAACTGTCTTTTGTGCATGTTATTAATCACATTCTGTGATCACTGTTTTTCTAGCTAATCTGAGAAAAAAAACAAAAGTTAAAAACAATCACCTTGTAACAATGATCTATAATTACACAGAACTAATTAACTAAGACTGTTAATGAAATCAGAAATAATAAGTCTTGTATCGATAGACAGAAAAATTTAAAAGGTATATAGAAGAATGAAATACAAACATACTTTGATAAATAAAACATCATGTTGTGTTGATATCAGATACGTACACACAGTTCTTTAAGCTGAAATAAACTAGCTTCAATACTCGAGCAGCACAAGTCAGGTCTTTACAGTGAAATCTAGGAATTTTATATTCAAGATACGTACTACCACGTATCAGTAAACTTCTGATAAAAACAAAGGTAATTTATACAATCAAAAACTTTCAAAGTTCCAGTCACAGGTTATATTAGAAGTTCTCTAAAACACACTCATCGCCAGCTCCTATTATTTGTTGATTTGCACGAAAATATCCTGTGCGATTATGAATAAGTTGTACGGAGCTACTGCGGTGCCCATTTTTTCTGTAAGATAATTTTTAATGGAACATTTTTAATTCCCCCACTTTGTTTCTGCTTTTGTGAGTCGATGAAACCTAACTTAATATGGTTTACCGCTTTACTAGGTTGGTCTTCACATTACTTTTATAGCGTATTCGATATCAAATAACCATCCTTCTACTATCAAGCTGAGTCTCGATTTCATGTGTTTTGGTAAACAGAAACATTTTTAGTAAAGAATTATCACACACAAGATTCTGAGGACAAACTTGTCCTTTATTTTCTGTTAATAAAACAGCAGTCTCTGGTTTCAGTGTACAATGGAAGAAGGTTACACCTAGAATCGGTCCTATATTACTACTAGTAGAACTCTACATCTAGAACCTAGCTTATACTAGGAGAGGAGAAGGTTGACATGAAATTTCTTGCCTGAACCTGATTTACAGAGATATAACAGGACCTTCTACAAAAAAAATGATTCACATTCTTTCAAGCGAGGAATGGGAACATAGGTACGAAACACGTAGACAACTCAAAAAGCCGAGTCACGAGACAACGTTAACATGGTGCCATGGAACTTAATGTAAAATTCAAACACAAAATTAAAAATGCTAGTCAAAATTTGTACTGGCCACTTACATCTTTTTTTAAAAGTTACAGTTACAAGGTCTGCTCAAAGTATTTAGTCATATCACAAACAATGCAACTTCTGCCAGATAAACACTGAAATGGCAATGTGACCACCAGCAAAGTTTGATTAGGTACCTGCTTGCCAAGTCTTGAGTGTTTGGGGGAAATAAGCACTTTTAAAGGTCTAGCTACATGATGAGGTTCCATTAAATCAACAAGCATATAAATAATACGATCCAGTAAAACTCAGCACACCGGCTGTAAAAACATAATGACATATTAAAAGGCCACAATGAGTTTCATATCACACACTTTTCATCGAACATTTAATACCAAAAAAAAAAAAGACCTTTCATGAAAAACAAACACGACTTTAGCAAACTTAACTACAGAAAATTATACACACGAAGGGTGGCCAACTACGTCTGCACCAACCATAATACATGTATATAGATAATATATATATATATACTTATATAATACATCTCAAGCTGTAGATCCTGTAAGCTAAAATATGTCACATTTACTAATGTTTGCTTCTTCCAGATCAACTTTAGTCCTGATGTTAGGAAGTTATGTATCCTTTACAAATTAATCTGTGCTACAACAAGAAAAACATTATACTTGTGCTTCTCCGTCAATAAAAAGAATGTACATTCTTAAGCCATAGTAGTTTGGTTCTAGTGATTCAATGAAAACACTGGAGTGACACATGGAAACTTTACGATAAGTTTTGTTTTCACAATTAAAATTTAAAAAAGATAAAGCTGCCTACTTAGTTTTTACTAAAAAAACAAAAGGACTGGTTTTTTTTTTTTCAACAACCACAAGTCCAGGCATCTGACCTGGACAAATCATCACACAGACTGTCTCTTCAATAAAATCAAACACTAAAAAGAGGCCCTAAACGAATGTGGCCAAAGCTGAAGGGGAAGTTGATTCTTGTTCTTTCTTTTTCTTTGCACCGTACTGCCCGATGAATGATCCATCCTCCGTAAACTGACCGGCTTCTCCTTCTCCGTATTCAGCCATGCTGTCTGTTTCGCTCTCTGGACCCTTCAGGCTACTGTTGAGGGACGTTCGACTGCCAGCCTGAGGATTCTGGTTACCAGGTCTGAAGTGTGGTATATTCAATATAAGTCGGTAAACAATCGTCTCAAAATAATGACACGTCTACTAAATACAAATTCACACTTTCTTTAACTACTGGTGCGACTTTATAACAGTGATTGTGATATAACATACACGGGACCTGATTTTCAGTATATGTAATAATAAACACTAAAGAATGCGATTTTGAAAGGACATAAAGAATGACTATCAGAGTATTTTACTCTTAACAACACTAGAAGTTGAAATACTTCAAGTTCTCCTTATAAACCCATGATCAGTTAAAATACATTAACATTACCCTTAAAGCCCGTGTTAATTATAATACACTACTTACAGTTTGCTGTACTCGTTGAAGCCGCCGTCATCAAGACAGTCAAGGTCTTGTCTATCAGAGTATTTTACTCTTAACAACAAACCCATGATCAGTTAAAATACACTTACATTACCCTTAAAGCCCGTGTTAATTATAATACACTACTTACGGTTTGCTGTACTCGTTGAAGCCGCCGTCATCAGGATAGTCAAGGTCTTGTCCTTGTGCTGCCTCCTTCTCGTGGACAGAGTATTTACCTCCCCGGTTTCGCTTGATCAGACAAACGATAATAAGCAGTAACAACAATAGGGCAATGGCACACATCATTCCGATAAACCAGGCAGCAGTAGCTACGCTATCTGTAGACGCTGGGGCTGCTACTGCTGTGTGAAAAGAAACAATGTTACACATCTAAAAACATCGTGGCCAACAAGTCCTTTTCATCACATTTAATTATAGGTGGGATGGAGAGCTCTTGGAATGTCGATTCCAGATCTGTTTTTGGTTTTCCTCGTCAAGTTTTCGTGATGAGACCAATGTAATATGAAATATTATTGCCTTAATTATAACTTAAGATGTTGTACATTTCGTAAGTGTGTACTGTATAAATTTGACCCAGCGTATGGTCTGTATAACGAATTATACTGAAAAACGAATAAAGCTGTAACATTAACTAGCCTAATGTGTGATTATTATCTAAATTGTGCTGAAATTAACACTAGTCATATTTTGATAACTAGATGTACTATAAGAAAACTGAAATCAGATTTGGAATCTATGTATGTGTTTACACCTTTGATGAGAGAAAAAAAAAAAGTTTGATTTTGTCGACCAGTGTTATCATCCTTAAATGAATTTTATCAACATAAAATCCAATTTCTCACATTCTAGGTTTTATAAACTAAAACTTTTCTGTTGTTAAAATGCAGGCCCTTGACTGTAACTTTTTATTAAAGTTGTTTCTGATCCATTGACATTCTTTGGAAAAATCTATGCACTTAAATCTTGTATATCGATATAATAACTACATAATGACTTGCATTCGTGTTTTACTAGAAGCTTTCATTAACAATTTCTCATTGCTACTAAAATTAAGTTTTAAAGGATAACGATAAATGTATCTTAAAAACAGTTAATTCTAGTAACATAAGTTATGATGTGTAGATCCTTCTTTTTTAGACCATCTTGAGTTTCTTCTAGT